TGGTACCGACCAGAACCACCGTCGGCGGGCCAGGCAAACCCAGCGAGGATGCCGCGAATGCCTCCGACGCCCCGGCCAAAGCCACCGGCTCTCCCAACAGCAAGATTCCCACCGTCGTGACGGATATCCCTTCTCCCACGGGAACCATTTCCCCGGACGTCTTGCAGTCCAACCTCGACACTGCGAAGCAATTCAACGCCGACTTCGCCACCCTCACCCCTGAATCCTCCTGCCTCGCCAACCAAGCTGCCTGCATCACGGGTAAAACCGCCCTCTGCGGTCCCGCCGGCGCCTTCGTCCTAACCGCCTGCCCATCCGGACAAAGCTGCTTCGCTCTTCCCATGGACACCACCGCAGGTGTCCAGCTCAAGTGCGTCGACAAATCCACCGCCGAACGCATCCTCGGCGCCCTCCCCGCCGGGGAAGCACCCATCGACCCCGTCCCCGGCGAGTTCACCAAAACCGCCACCATCAGCGCCACCAACGGCGCCGTCACAGTCACCATGACCGTCCGCCCCGAAGCCCCCTCTGCTGCCCCCACAGCCTCAGAAGGCCCAGACGTAACCTCCAAAACCACAATCACCCGCACCCTCACCACCACCACCGCGCCCGCGGAGTCCTCCTCCCTCACAACGGCCGCCCCCTCCAGCAGCAGCACGCAGGACACCCTCGAGGTGATCCCCATCCCCTCCACCACAACCATCACCACCACCATCCGCCCTCCTGCCAACCCCACTGGCCGTCCCCGCGGTGGCGGTCCCCCGCAGGGCCCTCCAAACCAAGATGAGAACCCCAAGCAGAGCGAACCCCCTCGCACCCGCACGCGCAGCCGGAGACCCCAACCCGAGCCCACCGCCACGGGAGGGAACGGGAACGGAGAGGAAGCAGCCAAGCCGACGCAGGCGCCTGGTGGTGGCGGAAATCCCAAGGGGCCGAGTGAGGACACGCGCGTGACGTTTACGCTGATTGAGACGACAACGGTGACGGAGAAGGAGACGGTCACCGTGACGGCCGGGGGGAGTACGGTTACGGCTAGGGTCGCTGTGAGGATGGTGTAGATTGTAATAAGAAGAGGTAAAGATTGAGATTGAGATTGGGAGATACCCGTTGTGCTCGGGATGGATTGGGCTTTTGGGGATAAGTGATTAAGTGAATACGTCAAAATAAAATAAATGCGATCTCAAGGGCATGGCGATGAGCGGCGATCTGTGATTGGGATATGTGATGTGTTTTTGGTACCGTAGAGGGCAGGCAGGTAGGGGACGTTGTTCCTGCCAGTCTTTTTGGGTATGGCGATGCAGAACTTGGGTACCTCGGGTCGCTAAGAATGGAACACACCCTCGTTCACCAACCCAATGACTGTAGGCTTCCTTTGCTCGGCTTCATCTTTGATACTCGCCTCATATGCGTCGCTCTATTATTCATCCCATTGCTTCCCGCTGAATACTCGATATGACCTTAATCGCGTCAAATCATCACCCAGGCTATATGTCGTCATCTGATTGACAGATGAACTCATCAGTATATACGTAACCTTCATGAAGCGGTATTCATGAACCGACAACCAGCAACGCTATGCCCGACAACGCCAGCCAACAATGCAATGCCTTCACCTCTTCCTCCTGAACCTGCTATTGTACCCAGGACCTCCTTTGGTGCCTTTGTTCTTTAGCTTCAGGCGCTTGAAGTTGGCGTGGGCAGATGCCTTGACCATGCGCACCGCCTTCTTGACTGTGCCTTCTTTCTCTTCCTTCCCAGTCGCTGCCTTGCCCTTGTCCTTAGCGGATGCCTTCTTTGCCTTTGCCTTTGCCTTAGTTTCGTCGTCGGAGTCAGATAACTCGCCTTCAAAGTCTGACCCTGATAGACCCTCCACGAGGTCCTCCCCGTCAAGATTTTCGTCTGCTGCTTTGGTCGCATCGAACTGTGTTTCTGGTACCAGCTCGTCATCCTCGTCTGCTTCCGCGGCCGGAGCTGCTGGTCTCCTGGCCCGCATCGGCTTGAGATTCGAGCGGCGCGTTGTTCGCTTCTGCCCTTTCTTCTTGTACACCCGCAGCGGCTGACCCCGATCAAGTTGCTCTGCATCAGAACTGTCATAGGCGTTCTCGTCGTCAAAGCCGCCCAGCAAAACTGGCTTCTCCTTCCTCATCTGCGCCTCGTGCTCCGCCTGATCCAGAAGTTGGCTATCGCCCACCTCCACATCGCCCCCCTTCTCACCATCCGCTGGCATTGGCGGTAGCGGTTTATTCTTCCCCACCGGGATACCCTCCGCCTCCATCTCCATCTCCCTCATGGCTTCCTCCTCATCGTCCAGAGCCTCGTCCTCTATCTTCCTCAGGCCCGCCATCATGTTACTCAGACTCCGCACCAACGGTTTCTTGGGCAGCCGCAGCGGCGCAACGTTCCACTCTCCATTCTCGTCCACAGGTGGAAGCGGCGCTGCTGTCCTTCGCAGAAAGGCAGGTGTTGAGAATTGTAGCTTGCGTACGGAAGAAGAGGGTGTCTTCGTCCCTGCTGCATTGGCGCTCCCGTTTCGTTCATGCAGCGGTGTGGTCAGCCCATTGAGGTCGGCGTATCGGCCTGAAGTGGTCGGCGTTTTTGATGTGTTCAACGTGGAGCCACGTCTCCGACTAGGAGTGGCGGCTATCGGAGGAACTGCCGAGACGTCATTGGCGGTTCGTGAAGGGGTATGGCCGAGAAGATCGAAGAGACCAAGGACGCGGCCTTCCTTTTGGGGGGTGGGACCGATGGAGGTTGGCAGGGCGGGGCTGAAGAGGGTTCGGCTGATCGAAGGGGTAGTGATCTCGGCAGCTGGCCCAGGGAGGTCGGCGGGAATGATTTCCGAGGCAGACTTCCGGGGGGTGGAGAGGACCTTGGTGCGCTTGGAGGGTGTTTGCGGTGGGACGGCGTCGGTACTCTTGCGCTTGCGATCGCGCTGTTGAGACTGGGCCGCTTCGGGGGGGACCTTGCCGGAGAGGATGTCACGGAGCTTGTTGTATTGCTTGTATTTCTGAGCTGGAGGGCGGGTGTTAGTAGACATGCGGGTGGGAGGTGAGTGCTGGCTTGTGTGTACCTATATCGGGGTTCTGCTTGATATCCTCGCGGCTCGGCTTCTTGCCGCTGTGATCCTTGGCCCAGGCGCTCTCCCATGTCTTGAGCTCAGCTCGAAGCGCAAGGGATTCGCCTTCGTATCGGGCCTTCGTCTCACTGTCCATTTTTTGTTGGCATGGGAGGTGAGTTTATTGGTGGGAGAATGGGTGGAAGTAAATCTGAACACTGGCGGAGATGGTGGAGTTGTTGGTGCATACATCCACTGCAGACGCGCTTGGAGACGCGTCTGGGTATCCTTGAACTTTGAACTTTGGCGCCCCGCACCCCGCATTGACGTTGGAACCGCTGCAGGGGCCCGCGCTTAGCTTGTACCCCAACCCTCCGTCTTGCCCCTCCTTGGTTCAAGGCTCGTTTTTTTTTCTCCCCTTCGACAGTGAGCGATGCCAGAAGAAGCGGCGGACACGGAGATTCAAGCCAAGGTCCTGCAAACCACACTAGCCGAGATTTCCTCGACTCGACAGAATGGCGTCAATAACAGCAACAAGGCCGAGGATGCGCCCCCACCGCCTGTCGACTGCTGCGTCATCTGTCTGGATACGATCTCGGAGCCATGCGCGGCGCTGCCATGCGCCCACGCCCACTTCGACCTTCTATGTCTCCTGAGCTGGGTACAAGAGCGCGCAACATGCCCGCTTTGTAACGCTCCCATATCCAAGCTTGAATACAACGACAAGGCGGGGAAGCGCCACACCTACCCTGTCGAGCCTGGCCCTGGAACCACATCCGAGAGGCACGAGATTGATAGTGTCCAGAGGAGGAGACGGAGGAGAAGAAGCCCGGAGTTGTTCCGAGGGTCAGATGGTCTACTGACACGCCCTGCGAGCGATATCGAGCGTCGGCGACATGTCTACCGCCACCAACTCTACTCACTCCACGTTGGATCAAATCGAGTTTCGCAATACAGACTACCGCCGACCCCAAACGATTTCAGATCGAACCCCCATCTAGTCTCGCGGGCACGGCTATGGATCAGACGAGAGTTGCAAGTCTTCACCTTCCTTTCGGACGCCCCAGAAGAGAGCAGTGGAACACAGCAGGGAAGCTCAAGCCAGCAGCCCCAGGCTAAGTCACGGAAGCGAGACAACGCCGAATTTCTGCTTGAATACATTGTGGCTGTCGTCAAAACAGTGGATCTTCAGGACAGTGCTGGACAAGCAGAAGATTTGTTGTCCAATTTTCTCGGGCGGGATGACGCCCGGCTGTTCCTCCATGAACTAAGAAATTGGTTGCGGAGTCCCTGTCAGTCACTGGCAGTATGGGACCGTGAGGTTCAATATCCTGATAGGAGAAGGAGTTACACCCCTCCGAACGACGCCGAAAACGAAGAGGAATGGCCACGGCAGAGACCGGAAGAAGATGGGTCTCGGAGTTGGCGTGACGAAATGGGAGGCGATCATTGGCGTCCTTCAACGTCGAGTCGTAAGCGAAGACACTCCGGTAGAGACACAGATTATCCCCGGGAGGGGACCATAGACTTCAGGAGAGGGGTGCGTGGTGGGAAGGATTGAGTTTGCTTCTCTTTGCGACCTCTCGGTCCGAGGTAGCTTATGCCTCTCTGCATTCTTGACAGGCCTTGATATCCTGGATAGAGGTGATCGACATCTCTCTTCAGTGCGTCTTTGCATTGCAATAAGAGCTCTTTCCCTTCGAAATAACCCGTCGGCCGGGCCTGTAAATGGACAAACTTGCTTGTTTCTACCGCGTGAGGGGCTTCGCGGTCTCGGTACACGAGCGAAAGGCCAAACGACTACAAGGCCAACTTATCAGTGGCAAGGGCCTGATGCTGGGAAGTGAAAGATAAGCGCTTCAACCACCAGAGAAGCACCACAATGGGCCGCCTATAGTGGCTTTCCAAGATACAGCAGACATCGCCAGCAAAAAAGATACAACCTCGATCCACCCAGGGTGTCGAACCTGGAACCTCCTGATAACTTCTTTTGTCAAGACTCGGACTAGTCGAGACTCAGGATCGTAGTCAGACGCTCTGCCATTTAGCCAGCGGACCTCAGATAGTAGTATCCTACTTGAGAAATATCCGGAAGAATTTCCCTCATGTTTTGGGTTTCGTGGTGGTGTGCGGTGGAACGAGGAGTGGGGGAAGTGGTGGGTCGTCTCAGGGCATAATGTCAACACCATCGCCACAACATGGGACATGGATCCGAGCTCCAAGGATTTGGGGCCAGGGTTGAGCTGAGGTTGCGAGCTGAGCTACAGCTGCTAGGATAGAGCAGATAACCTCTCTATAATGTATACAAGACTTCTGTTTGGGATATATCCTATTATCGACCTAATCACTCATCCGTATGACCCCGCCAACGAAGTCATCACTGTGCTGCAAATTAGACATGAGGAGAACCTGGAACACATCACTACCTTAGGCAGCTCGAGTCCATTGACTCGGGGATCCCAGCCCCCCGCCCCTATCTCCTATCCGAAGGTGACATCTTGCAGGTCAAGCAAGTCAGCTTCAAAAGGACAGGAGTTAAAGTAGTCTTTCATTTTGCCTCTATGTGTCACAGAACCCCCCCCCCCCCCCAAATCTCTCAGGGAACCCGGGCAAGAGCTAACTCAAGGCCTCGTGAAACGGAACAAGCAAAACCTCCTCCCGCAATGCAAGTGGCGCAAAACAGAATGCAACAGCAAAATGAATGATGATTGACGAAAACAACGGCATAGAGAAAAATGACGGTATGATGCCAACAAATATCTAGTACACAGACGCTATGGTCCCGAGTTCTCCTCGCCTCATACATTTCGCAACACAACATCAGCAGCCCGCAAGTCACAACCGAAACCGCATCCACAACACAGTAGGTAGGACCTTGTAATTAGTTTCTGGCGCCGGCCTCCCATATTTGGTTTCCCTTCTTCACTCTCCGCTTCTATCGTCAACCCGCTCCTGGAGTGCTGCCCCGTTGCCATGTTGCTAAGCAAGGTGGAAGAGATGAAAACACACAAAACACAAAAGAGTACAATCCGCCATCGCTGACGCCTCCCCGCTTCCTCCTCGCACAAGAATGCCCAACCAGAAACCCCTTCTCTGATGATGGGTCCCCCATGGTCGAACCGGGCCTTCTCTGGAAATCTGGATCGCCTCGTCTTCCCCCGAAGTTTACAAGGAATGGTATGGTTTGTGTTTAACAAAAAGGAGGCGTGGGGGGAAACAGAAGCGCAGTATGATGGTGGTAGATAATTACATGCCCTCGAACTCGCCGCCGAGGTCGTCCTCGTCCAGGTCGCCCTCCTGAATCTCCTTGGCCATCTCCCTCTCCCGTTCGCGAGCCTCCTGTGCGTTCTTAAGCTCGAGTCTGTGCTGGTTCATGGGAAAGCGCATAGCCTAGTGACATCATGTTAGCAGATATCAGTGCCTGAATGAACTGAGAATACACACCTTGACGCTTTCGTCATGGAGAGCCAGGCACGCCCGAATGCGGTCGTGGAATGCCTCTCCCGGTTCTCTCGTTGCGTATACGTCGCCGATCTCTTTGCTCTTCATGAATCCCCTCTCGCGGTCCAAGGTGGCCTCGATGACGCCGTCCCTAATCGCCTTGGCGACAATGTACTCGGCACTCTCCTCGCTACCAAGGTGCAGGCGAATGCAAATGTCCCGGAGCGAGATGCGGCTGTAGCTCAAGCTCATCATGCGGATACCCGTCTTGATGACGTTCTGGCGGAGGCGCAGGATGAGCGTGTAAGTACCGTCGCGCTTGAAGGTCTCGGCGTGATCTGCGATAATGATCTCAAAGTCCTCGAGGTTTCCAACGCGAACCGCCTGGACCAGAAGGAAGTAGGGCTGGAGCGCGACCTCCATCGTCGGTTGTCGGAAGGTTGCGCGGTCGGGAATGTCACCCATCAGAAGCTCCACCACCATCAACAGCTTCGTCGCCGTCTGGCTGAAGCCAAGCGCGCAGGCGCTAGACGGCGCCTTACGCGTCGCCGCAGTCAGATGCTCATGGGCCTCCGTATAGCGTAATTGGATGGCGCGGGTGCGGCCCAGGTAGTACAGGAAGCGAGCAACCTGGTTATTCGCAGCATTCTCGGGGAATTGCGTGTGCGAAACCAAGAGGTCGGCCTGCGAGATGTGCGACGTGGAGAGGTAGTTTCGAAGGAGGAGAACGATGACAGACGCCTGTGTATCGATATCCTTGCGGAGGACAGCGGTCCGAAGAGCAGCGAGGAGGGTGGGTCGGATGGAGACAATCGGGGACTGGGGAGACGGAGGCAGCGGTGCGAGCTGCTCGGCGAAAAGCGACATGTAATAGTACACCTTGGCCGAGAGGCTGTCCAGGGTGCGGCGGTTAAGGGACTGCACCCGGGTGGCGAGATGACTCGAAAACTCAAAGCCGCGCTGAATTTGCTTGTTGTCAAAAAGAAGAACTTGCGTCAAAATGCCGAGGAAAACATCGATCTCTGGAATAATATCCTTCGCCTCCTTCTTTGTGCCGTTCTTGGTCTTGGGTTCGCTGTCGACCTCCATCTCGGGGCCAGGCTGGCGACCCAGAGACACATCTCCCTTCCCGATCGCCAACAAGAGACCCTTGGCAATGTGACTGCTGGCGGAGTTTGCAGGGAAGGTCTCTGATATGGCTTGTGCGAGGATATCTGGCGTCAGTCGTTTCCGGATGGACGAGATGGATCGCAGGGCTCGGAGGGAGAATCGTGCGTCGAAAAGCGTGACGGCGCGATCTAAGAGCGCGAAGTTGCTCTTGATGTCTGCGTCCACCCATCGAGATTAGTGTCCGGATACGAAGCGCTTGATAACAAATGAGAATGCGTACCGTTGATGGCCTGAACAACGGGGTCAACCTTAACGGCGCCATCGTCTGCCTTATCCGAGTCATCCATGACGACGTCACCGTCGGCATCATTCGGAGGTGGTACAGACGAGTGCTTGGAAGATTTTGATGGAGGCACGACCACAGTCATCTCATCATCGCCGTCTTTGATAGACTTCTTGCCTTTCGGCTTCAGGTCCTTGTCCGTCATATCAATGTCCTTGCCGCCACGGTAGCCGCCGTTCTCGACGGGTTCCTTGTCGGGTGTCTTGCCGGGCATCGCGACGGTTGTAAATGTGACTTATCGGCGCAGCCCGTCGAAAATCGCTGATGGGAGGATGGGGTGCGGTGGTGGACAGCGATGCGTGATGCTCGCGGAGGATGGTCTCGCGAAGCGCGCTCCTCGTTGGCACCAACTTTCAGGCGTTGTGCTCCTGGTCGGAAATTAATATGAGAAGGAACCGTGGGAAAAAAACAGCAGCGCCAGTGCCGCAGGTGAAAAAGTGACGTTTCGCCGAGGAGTCGATGCTCGGCTGTGTGGGAGTGGGAAATCTCGGGGTATGGGGAAGTGAGTGTGATTGTGATGCAAGAAGGTTCGTAAAAGCTCAACCTGGGATTGAGTAAGGAAGTCGCCAAACGGACACGGACCACGGACTGCTGAGGCGCTGCGCTGTGGAAGGCAACCGAAGTAACTACGTACTTGCGCGCCTGGGCATCCGCACACAGTGCCGGGCAACCTGGTTCCACGGGCCTTGGTACCTAAAATCTGGCGGAGCCTGATGCGCCCGTCTCAGCTGCAGCGGGAGATGCGCCCATAATCTGTTAGGGCATTAACTTCAGCACCCCCATCTCTCCATCGCGCTCAGCCACGGCAGGGGTCCGACTCCCTAGTCTCCGCAAGGTGGCTCCACTGAAAGCTCGCAGCCGCTTTGTGACGTTGTCGGCATGCTGCCTGGTGTCCATCGATACAATGAACAACGCAAGCCCAACCCAAAATCTCGAGCAGAGCCGTTGCATCGCTATCAGCAATCCCAGTTCGACCCCTCAACCGGGCACATCCGCACACTCTCCGTCTCCTCAGGGTTCAGTGACCTTTTCCTTCCCTCATTCGGCCAAACCGGAACTCCTGACGGGGATCTTGTGCTCAGCTCACCCTCCAGGACTCATCTCCTCCGGCACATGACCACATCGACCTGGATCCCCCGTCTCTGTACAAACTACCCATCCTACTAACAAAGCTCCGTCCAGTCTCATGATCTCTCTCCAGCCCACCCAGCTCAGAATCCCTCCCAATATAAAAAACCTCCCACAGTTCGCGAATGCGCAAAGCATAGCTGCCAGCCAAGTCGCATATTCTTGGCATCTCACCCGTTCCGGCATCGTTTGTTGCTTATTCACCAGATTGGGCGTTGCGCCTGCGCTGCACGGCATCCCAGATCTGAGATGGTGATTGGCTTGCCGACAAAACTCCGGCTCGCAGCATCTCCCGCCGCTTCTCAGCAGTCTGCACGCTCAAAACGAAGTTGACTGAGATGCCGTGGGTGTTCATCATAGCTTGTCAACGTCTATGTTGTACTGAAAATTATGACACGGATTGCATGTCCAAAAAAGTAGAGTGGTTGCGGTGAGCGACAGAGCGAGTACCTATATGAAGCTGCAGTAGTGTCCAGGAACCTCGAGAGTTCGTACGGAGCACGGCGTTTGTAAAGCTAGTTTTACGCCGCAGACAGTGATGAGCCTGACGGTCTTATTTTGGGTACGGACCTTTTGATACATGCCGAGGAAATCCGTGTCTTGCAAAGAAGAACTCTACTCGGTTGTAACCTTCCTAGCCTGCTGGCAAGAATGTGAATGCGTCTCAATAGGCATGCCTGTATGGTTTCAACAAGAGGTCGACCGCAAGACCTCGAGCCTGATCGATGAGAACAGATAGAAATAGAAACTAGCATCTTGTGAAGAAGTCCGCATTGTTTACGCTACCAAAGCATCTCCGCTACCAAAGCATGTACGCCCCCATACCAATCTGAACGCCGTCCCATAGTATTGCCTTCCCCGTTGTGTCCATGTGATGTGCGATCTGATCATAGCATCGCGGAACCCGACCCCCAAATTAAGGGCCCAAAGCCAAACAGCGCCGTCGTGTTACATCCCATCATGAATCGCAATAGCCCGAGTAGCCAAGCCCTCACGGGTCTCCCTTTCCTGGCATCACCTTGGCCGCCTGAACGGC